ATATCTGAGAACTGAGTCCAAGTGAGTGAAGCTGCCTCGGCCGGACTACCCAACTCATATGCTCGCCACCACTGATAGGCCGCTCCCATAAGCTGGAACCCAGTGAAAGCAACCCCACTACACTCCACAATACCCATAGTACTGAGGATACGGTGGCGCTTCTCAAGAAAACCCTATGCATCCTCTGACGCCAAGCCATTGAAAGTAGAAGGGCGGTACTTCTTGTACCTTTCGAGCTTGAGCTGCTCCCCCATAGAAATTGTAGCCCTAACCTCGGGCTGAGCTGGGGCTACCGGCTGTACTGGTATGACCTATGGAACCTGGTCGATCTGAACCCGTTGCTCTGGGTGCAGGAAGTGGGAGTTTATGCTCCTCCCCCAGCCTGAGATATGGCAGGAGCAAGTGGGATCAACCTTGCCTGAGCTAAAGTGCCGAACATGCTCAGAAACTAACGAGGGTCTCCTAAAGAGCTAGTGTAGTAACAGGCATCTCAGGTGCATGCGCTCCGACTGGAGCTACTGGTGGATCCTCTATAGCAGCTCGTGTGGGTGCTCTGGCTGCACCACGTAGACATCCTCGGCCTCTACCCCAGCTCCGGCCTCTCGCGGCTCTAGCATGGGGCTCGGGTGTCTGGTCATCGGATCCAACTGTACGTGACCTCACCATCTGTGAGAGAATAGAAAGACAGAAGTTTAGAATCCTGATGTCAATAATTTCGCACGACGAGGAATCAAAGAAGTGAAACTTTTCCTAACAGTTCCATAGCCTCCCAAAGATAAGTACAGACGTCTCTGTACCGATCTGTTAGACTCTACTAAACCCGCTTGTGACTCATAACACCTATGAACCTAGAGCTTTGATACCAACTTGTCACGACCAAAATTCCCTCCATAAGATGTCGTGACGGCACCTAGTCTTCTAACATGTATGCGAAATAACTGAGATATTAAGTTAAACTCAAAACATCAACGACTGTAATAAATAAAATTTGTAACTCAGAGTACAAACAACTCCCAAAACCCAGTAGATATAAGTCACAAGCTCTAAAGACAAATACTAAATTTCTCTATCCATCAGAGTCTTATGAGGATAAGGGAAAAAACACAATAAAGATAGAGAGGGACTCTAAGGTCTGCGGACGCTGGCAGATATGCCTTGAAGTCTCCACGTACGATCTAGCTCACAGATATCTGGTCTAGTATGAAGTACCTGGATTTGCACAAAAAGTTGTGCAGAAGCATAGTATGATTACACCACAACGGTACCCAGTAAATGCCAAGCGTAACCTCGATAGAGTAGTGACGAGGTCAAATTAGGGCCCTACTGGAATATAAGAAATAAGGCAGAAGTAAAATGATACAATAAAATGGCAGGGAAATAAGACAATAAGAATATACGGAAAGCAACAACACGGGAATCAAAAGACAAATACAACACGTAAGGAAACAAGAATCTTACAAGTTAAGGAACAAAAACAACAACAACAACAACAACAACAACAACAAATAATACAACAACTAGAGAAATAATAATTGCATGGCAGAAACCTCGTGCCACAATAACAATCTGTACGGTAGAAACCTCGGGCCACAATAACAATCCGCACGGCAAAAATCTCGTGCCATAATAACAATCCGCACGATAAAAACCTCATGCCAAATTACAGTCTGTACGGCAGAAACCTCGTGCCATAATAACAATCTGCACGGCAGAAACCTCGTGCCACAACCAAACAATCATCTCAACAATAATTATGGAAGCCAAAACATAACAACTGAAACTATGATATTTCAAGGATAGCAATTTCAAGTAAGGAATCACACAGTTAAATAATGAATATGGAATCAAGAAAGCAAGTAATTCCACTAGCATGTAGCACAAATTGCAAATAAGATATAAGACAAGTAGACATGTGAAACTAGGCTAAACATGATGACTACATGTGCTAAAATAACTCAGTTAAGGCATTAAAAAGAAACTACTTATCGAAAACCGAAATTTCAACATTTAGCCCGTGTATGCACTCGTCACCTCACGTACACGACACCCACATATCACAAATTGTCACAAAAATACCAAATCTTAAGAGAGTTTCCCCCACACAAGGTTAGACAAGTCATTTACCTTAAACCTCGTTCAATCAATCAATAAGAATGCCTTTCCCTCGACTTTCTTACTCCAAACGGCTCAAATCAAGCCAAAAGCAATTACATACTATAAATATAGCTATAAGAAACTAATCTAAATAATAAAATTATGAATTTAGCAAAGAATTAAAAAATTGCCCCAAAAAGTCAACCCGGGCCCTCTCGGAAACCGACCAAAATTAGAAAATCAGAACACCCATTCGATATCGAGTCCAACCATACAAGAATTATCCACCATCGACCTCATTTGGCCTTTCAAAACCCCAAAGTCGGTCTAAGAACTTTCACCATTTTTCCCCAAAATTTCCAACTCCAGTCACTAATTATAACGATGGATTCATGTAATTCAACTAAAACCGAGTTAAAATCACTTACCCTAACCAATTCCTTTAAAATCCCTTCAAGAATCACCCAAATCCGAGGTCTCTAGCTCAAAATATGAAAAATAGGTTCGAACTTTCGTTTTTGAAAACTAATACTCGCGAATGCGATGACCACTGATCAGAAGCCTCCGCGAGCGCGGAGCCTCACTCGCGAACGTGTACGCCAAGCGTGAGGTCCACCCTTGTCTGCTACTCTTCTTCGCGTACTAGTGGGCTTCTTCGCGAACGCGAAGAGCATTTATCACCAACCTCCCAGGTACACCTTCGTGAACGCATGACCTCCTTCACGAACGCGAAGGAAAATTTCCGGCAAAACTAAAACTCCTCTACGCGAATGTGGGAGTACCTTCGCGAACACGTAGAAGGAAACTAGAAGCACCAGATTTCAGCAGTCCTAATGTACCGAAATGCGACGAACATGGTCCAAATCACCCCCGAGGCCCCCGAGACCTCAACCAATAATACCAACAAGTCCTAAAATATCATATAAACTTAGTCGATTCTTCAAATCGCAGCAAACAACGCTAAAACCACGAATCACACCCCAATTCAAGCTTAATGAACTTATAAACTTCTAACTTCCACATATGATGCCGAAACCTATCAAATCAAGTACAATTGATCTTAAGTTTTGCACACAAGTCACATTTGACATTACAGACCTATTCCAGCTTCCAAAATCGGAATCCGAACCCGATATCAAAAAGTCCACTCCCAGTCAAACTTTTCAAAAATCTTCCAACTTTCCAACTTTCGCCAATTAATGTTGAAATGACCTACATGCCTCCAAATCAACGCCCGAACATGCTCCTAAGGCCAGAATTACCATACAGAGCTATTGAAACCGACGAAACCCTATTCCGGAGTCGTCTTCATACAAGTCAACCCACGGTCAACTCTAACAACTTAAACTTCAAACTTAGGGACTATGTGTTCTATTTTACCCCAAAACTCTCCCGAACCCGACACCAAAAGTGAAATAACCACAAAATAAAATAGAGGAAGCAATAAATAGGGAATCAGGGCTCATACTCTCAAAACGACCGATCGGGTCGTTGCAATCGAGTCCAATGGGATTCCATACCATAGGGAGAAGCATCATCAGCATCTTCAATAGTTGTGGAACAAACAACCAAAGAACGCAGCTCAGAAACTATTAGTACAAATCACACTAGTTATTACATGTTGGGAAATCTAGAAATCAAGATGTGGACAGAAATATGGCAAGAAGACAATCTCGATTTTCAGAATTAGCCAACAAATACTTTAATCTTATTGGGCCAAAAGTTCAGCCAACTTGACTGGAACCTATCTTTGATTGAAGTGTGCTTAACAGTTGAGCAACACAAAACCTTAAAAGTATTATGGTTAGATGGGTTTTTCCGGAGGATGATACTTGGAAGTTGAATACTGATGGTAGCTATATGGCACAAAAAGGAAAAGCTGGAGCAGTGGGAGTTGTTAGAAACAAAAATGGAGAGTTCTTCATGGCTTATGCCTCACCATTCTAATTCTTGATTAGCACTTACCCTGAAGTACAAGCTGCACTTCAAGATGTTCTATGGTGTTGTAAGCAAAACTACAGAATGATTTTAAATTAGACTCTCTCTTGGTAGTCAATATGATTCTCGGACTCCACAAAATCCCTTGGAAATTACATCATGATATTGAGGCTATACAACATAAAGTTGGACAGTTTGGAATCAAAGTGAAGCACTGCTACATAGAGGGGAATGAAGTTGCAGACATCTAGTCCAAATATGCTACTACTCTTACTGATAAGGTCATTTTCACCGATGAAATGGACCTCCCTAGTGAAGCAAGAGGAGCCATTAGAAAGCAAGAGGAGCCATTAGAATGGATAGATTGCAACTTCCAACTTTTAGGATCAGACCAAAGAAACACACAACTTCCAACTTTTAGGATCAGACCAAAGAAACACACAAGATGGTACTTTGAGCCTCCATGAATGTATACTGAAGGGCTACTGTTGTTCTTATTGAATACTCCTTTATAGTAACTCTTCTTCAATTTTATGTTCGGAAGGTTTTGGTTTATGCCCCTCTTCTTTGTACTATTTTAATATATATAAACAAGGTAGGGGTCATGCCAACC